AGTTTTTGGTTAATAAGACTAAAATTGGCTTTATTGTAGTCAGAAATAAGCTTTACTTTTTTAATATTTATTGGGGGAGCAACTATGAGATCAAAATTTAACAACAAATGATCACTTAAGCCTGGAAGATACGTACGGGAAGATGGAAGGTCAGGGTGCGTCGACAGAATTAAATCAAGTGTGGTTGCTGTATCATTGACATACCCTGTTGGTTTCGTAACCAGCTGTGTCAAATTAAAACACGCACACAGATCCAAAAAATGTTGACTCGGTGTTGAAATAGTTTGAGACGAAGGTGGATCAGACCGCATATTATCAGGAAAATTAAAGTATTCAAATAAAAAACAGAAAAACTAGGATACTGACAAACAATAGAATTTATATCGTCATGCAAATTATCAATAAATGTCACTGCGCTGTTTGGGGGGCGGTAGCAGACACCCAGTAAAACTCTTGTGTTATTTAAAGTGATACAAGCCCGAACCATTTCTAGATCGGAAGCAACATCTGCGCAAAATAAAGGTATGCTCTGCGATACGGCTATGAGTGTGCCACCCCCATGTCCACCGTCTCTGCCAAAATGATATACATTATATTTTCTATCTCTTTGGAAAATTTAAGAACGTTTGTCTCAGAAAACACTCGTGTGCACCCGCACTCTCTCACATACATAGCAAGATGTTCCACTGGCGGTGACTGAGGGGAAAGTGTATGTTTCCTGAATATTACATTGATGCACCTCCCATGCAGATTGTCCGAGATACACCTTTCCACATGACAACGGTATTTCTGATATGATGCCACTGTGACGTTCCACGAACTTTCGTGCATGGTTGATTTTACATTAATTATGGGTATCCTGCTGCTCGTTGGTTTTCGGACATAATCGTTTAAGTCTGTTGGGCACTGTGAGAAGGATAGGAACCTCACATTTTGCGGCTACTCTTTTTAAGTTTTGGGATAGGCGGTGAAGGTAGGGCCATACCACACGTCGGATCTTCGTTCGGTTTCGACTTCCTCGTTGACGTCGTTAAACATGCTCTCCACGTTGGTGGAAATAAGTGAAACCGGGTACACTGAGGCGCGATATCCTCTCTTGACTTATTTCAGTAACCATTCAACAAAAAAGCACCACCGTATTTTTTTTAAGGGGACATCATTCAGTTACGACACCAGACACCGACATTGCAATAAAACAGCCGTCTGCACCAGTACCGCATTTCATACTGAAGCTCGCGGATAGCGCAATGCTACAGTCACCGAGAACAGCATCAACACCCGTGCCACTATTCACCACTGGGGTACAGTGAACGACGCACGAAATTGAAAAGCATGAAAATAGCAGAGATTAAAACAGAGCACTTATTTCTTGTCTTCCCGCAGTCTTTTACCTCCCCCCTCCCTCCTCCTTTCCCCTGACCTTGCCCCCCCCCCCTCTACCTCAGAAATCCTTAGCGTGAATTCCGGCATTCACGCTAAACGAACTAATATTTCCTTCGGGCCTCAAAGCAAAGTGTGGCCTGTGTTTAGAGCTCTAATAAATTCCCTCGGAGAAGGCTCTTTCATTAACGGAACTTATTACAGCTCTGTTTTATTGAACTGTAGACTCTAGAATTTATTGACCTCACACCAACTTAGTCCATTGTCTCTCCTGCCCCTTTTATCCTCCCCATCCCCTCCCAGCCAGGTAGAAAGATGCCTTTGCCGGGGATACTCCCAAAGCGCCTGGCATATTTTCTATCAATAATTAAAACACAACGCTTCCATCACCAACATTCAGTGACGCTACTGCATGCACGTAGCCATGGGGCAGCCCATGGGGCCGCCCCCCCCCCCCCCCAAAATCCTCGATTTTGCTGGGACCCCCTCTCCCCCTCCCCCTGATGCAACATTTTGTCATGGGCGCCCCCCCCCCCCCCCCCCCCCCCCCGCACGGAAACAAAATCCTGGCTACGTGCCAGCCGTTCAGTATGCCATAGCTATGGTTCCACATGTTTGGATAAATACCCAAAAATCCGAAAAAAACACCTACCGGTAAGATTTCGGTGAATTTGAATTTATCTGAAAACTGAAGGGGATGGGCAACAATACTAAAATTTACATGATTTGCATCTTGTCATTTTTATGTTGTCTATCATGTCACAAGGGTTCGAAAAAACATCGACTTCCCCTGAAATACTGCGATGCCGTTGAAGAACCACAAAGCAAAAAGCAGTACTTTTTCCGTTCTGAAGTTACGAGTGGCGGCTATTGGAAGCTAAAGCGTGACGTCAGTGGGGGATGGCTTAGTCGATCCGACTCCAAACTACCTGCGTCCAGTGTTGTGCTACATGTGTGTCATGTGAGTTGACCCGCCTGTGCAACTCGGATCGGATTAGTAATATATGGAACATAGCCTAATGATGCGAAGCATGCAATTCTCTACTCAATAAAAGCATATCTTTTATAAATAACACTGGTTTAGCCTGAATAAATTCGTAAAAAACTTGTATCATTGTTATATGTACGGTTTTTTTGGGGCGTTGTTTAGCCGATTTGCTTGGTGTCGACAGAACCATTCTCTGCTTCGATGATCACAAACTTCCACTCTCACAGTTTACCGCGTGACACCGGAGGTTTCGCATCCTTCGACCTCCCAGTAAAATATGTGAGGGGGGATATACTTGAAGGATGAGAACATTCTGCCCAGGTGCCGTCATCATAAAACAATAAGCTTTATTCGTCTTCGTCGGACGAAGAGAGTTGGACCTCACAGGTTTCAGGATTAGAAAAGACAGGTGTCGCTTTTATCGCCTTGATATGTGGTCGACGGCTGATGTGCTGCAAGAAATGCGTTTGGTGTGCAAGTTGGTAGTGCTTTGGCCACTGAGGCAGTCTTTTGAAGTTATGCTTTTCTTACTCGATTTGACAAGTTTGACACCGTCAAAATAACGCAGTATGAATGACCCTTGCATCGCGTGGTACATGCATATTTTTACTAGAGTGCGTCTCTTTCCCGAAGACATGGCATGTGACAGAAACATTAAACGGGTCGAGCCAAACCAGCAACTTTGGGAGTTCGGCCATCACTCTTAGGACGGCGACGTCCTCGTGCTTACGATAGTCCGCTGTGCGCATTGCAGCGGATGTTTATTCCGGTAGGCCGCCATATACGCTGTGGCGAGTTTTCTTGCTATTCTCTAGATCGGGTGCACAAAAAGGTGTCCCCATCTCATGCCGCTCTGTGTTGCCATCTCAGGACAGTAATTTCCGACGACAGTGATATCGCTAAGGGACATTATGCTGACCGTACCGTACTACAAGCCACCACAACTGGAAGTATTCGCGTCCTTCATTGACGTCAGTGCGCCAGCGATTCGCAAGGCAATGAAAGAGTTGAGAGTTGCCACGAACTATCTTTTTCACCGCGTCCTTCAGTGACGTCATTGTTCAAGTGACCCGGAAGGCAATGGAAGCAAACCAAACCAAACACTCTAAAAAAAAAAAAAACGACAACTGTCGACTTGACGCTTTTTTTTGGAAAGTATCCGGGTTGTCGCAAACCACACTCTCTATCGAGAGTAACGGTTACTCCTCAACGGCGAGTGTGAGTTTAACTCTCCCATGCGAGTGTTCATTTAACTCTTCTATAAAGAGTCATGCCAATACTTTTGCGAGAGTCAGGACAACTCTTTTGATGTGTAAGTGTGAGAGTTAATTTCACTTCTTTGTGTAGAGTGACTATAACTCTATCAAACGTTTTTCCTAAACGCCTTGTTAACGAGTTAGGGATGCTCTCCAGGCAGAGTTACCTTCACTCCTTCATGTAGAGTAACTTCAACTCTATTAGAGTGTTGCCTCAACTCCGTATTCGACAGTTACGCGTACTCATCAAAAAGAGTTACCTTCACTCCATCGGGTAGAGTAACTAGAACTGCATTAGGAGTCGGGTGAAAGCGCGCTTTTTCGTTCACTCAGCGTCCAGTGAATCTTTAGCGCCATCGCTGGGTAAGGAAAAGAAACATGGCCGCCTTTGCGTGTCTCCCCGACTGCTGACGCTCCGCCTTTGAAAAAATCAGGTATTATTTTCTTATCTTCTTTGTACTCGGAGTTTCGACTTGAAAATTTTGCACAACATTGTGACCAGTTAAAAATATTTCCGAGAAAAGTTGCTACCAGATCCGTCAAGTATCTGATATTTGCAAACCATCTTAGTGCGTAATTTTCTTTTTTTTTTACATATGCATAGTCTTAGGACTCTGATCGAGGGAGAGAGTTGGATCCTTATGCCGGCCTAATATAGAGTCATTTGTTTTGATTTATCTTCCTTTCTTAGTTTTCTTCACGCTATAACGACATAGGTCACTTTGTCTGGTGAGGCTTTTAGGCCTACCTTGAAGAAGTGTCCCAAGCAGCACAATTCACCGGCTCAAGCTTGAGCCTGCTTGGGCAGCCGGGGAAAGTTTCCCTGGCCCAAGCACCGTTTTGCTCCAAGGGGCAAGCTAGCCCCAGCCTGGCTAGCCGGCCCGGCAGTTCAGTGGGGGTTCCTTGTACAGCCAAGCTTGGCTAAACGGTGTAAAACAAGCCTGGGCCAGGCTGGCAGTTCAGTGGTCAACCAAGCTTGGCAAAACGGTCTAAATGCATCCTGGGCCACACTGGCAGTTCAGTGGTCAGTCAAGCTTGGCAAAACAGTGTAAATGCAGTGTGGGCCAGGGTGGGAGTTCTCTGGTCATTCAATCTTGGCTATACGGGGAATTTACAGACTTCTCCCAAGGAAGTCTATGTTGTCATTCAAAGGATGTTTTTTGTGGCATATGATATAGTCAAACACTTCCAATTTTTGGTGCTGTGTGCAGAAAAAAACTGGTTGCTACCTTGTTCCGGATTTAGTGACCCACGATTAATGGAGCTGCTAAAGTAATTTTCTCAGAATACTTAAACAATAAAATGAAAGTTGAAAACATGCGCGAGCTGCTGTATTTATTGTGCGGTTGGCATGCAAATGAAGCTGCAAAATCAAGTCAAGTTTGATACAGTGGTTTTTTATTTCATGTTCAGTACATGGTGCTAGCTTATGCCCGAGTTCCACCACAGCGACAAACAGAAACAAATGACGACAAGTCTCAAACCTGAGTCTTTCCCGATTTGACAGGCTTTGTAGAATAAAGGAGGCTATGCTTAAACACAAGCATCATGCACGCGAGGGTATCTTTGGCAGGCTTAGAATCACTCATGCTTATTTCACGAGCACCGAACGAATAAACGCCGCCTGCCAAAAGTACCACCACGGGCATGCTGAATCGGTTGGAGGCTTGTAGCTGTCGTTTGTTTCTGTTTGTCGCTCTCGTGTCCCACTAGAGCGACAAAGGCTGGTTGCTGGTCGAGTATCTGCTGCCTGGCAACTGGGCTTCACAGCTAGTAGGTGGCTCTGCCGATCCGAGTACTAATGACAGCAGTTGTACATAGTTCACCCCATGGCCACTTCATGGCTGTGACGTAGAGCTGGATAGCAGCACCTGGAGAAGGAACAAGATAACCAGTGATGCATGTTTAGTAAATATGTTTTACATGAACTATAAATCCTGCTCCTAATTAAATTATAACAGCAGAAAGGCCACCCAAAAGGTCTTGGTGGTATCTTCAGTCTCCTTCAATATAAAAGACGTACTAAAAGCGCGTGGCCGAGATGACCGTGGTCGGGGGCGCTATGTGCGCTCCACGAGATTCTGTTCTGCCTCGAGGAAAGGACGCTCACTCGGGGCTGAACTGGTCCTGAACTTGCGGACGGTTTAGGTTTAGACTAAGAGCGTGCTTTATCGGCATTGCGCCCACAGATATGATCATGGAGGCTCGAAGTAAGCATGCTCATTATAGTTTTTGTTATCAGTTGTCTCTGGTGTAAAATTTGAAAACAGGCACAAATATTGATGTTGCACCCGAGTCTCATATTTGAAAAATAAAATGTCTTGATGAGCGGATTTATTAATCAGAAGGATGGCATGGACCATGCACTTTAGAAGTGAAAATAATTGCCTTGACTCGGGCCAGTTTCTCTCGGACAGCCATTTCAGAATTAGTGGCTGTGACATAATGTGAATGAACTGCTCTCCACCGTGAACCCAAAAACTGATAAGTGTGCATTGCACTTTAGCTGAGCACTAAGTGAGTTCCCCCTTGGGTAGATTGGGATCTCCCAGAGCACACCAGTCACTGTCTCGGCCAGGCGCTCCCACTGGGTCTTTCATACTGCAGGAGAATACATAACGCAGGAACTACAGAACTTGACAGTGACAAACATGATTTCCCTCCATTTGTAGAATACTACTGTCAGTAAATGCAAAATAAAAGCCAGTTAGAGCAGCTCAATGTGAACACCACATATAACATACAGTACTGTGGAAGGTTGCTCAGATCGTTTGAAAGCAGACTTTGAATTGCCGCAAGGGAATTTTTCTTGATTCTCTTGATAGTAAAACCAAGCCATAAGTACAACTTCACTGTAAAGACAATGTTTTCTATCTGCTTTTCTTTAAATGCATAGAAGTACTTTTTGGTATTTATGTTACCTACCTCTAAAAAGACGAAGGACCAGTAAAAGGAAACACAGACACAGTTACGTACAAAACAAGCATGTTGGTAACAGTAACTAAACATGAGGAAGACACAGAGAAAGGGGGGGACAGACAGACAACTTCGTTCTCCGTCCCCCCTTTCTATGCATCTTCCTCATGTTTAATCACAAACACAGCGCTGTCTTTCCTTTTACTGGTCCATCTTTTTTGCGCTGTTTTAACCCATTCAATATGACCACCAATCAACTCGCCCAACTTTACACCTTGCTACCTCTAAGGTTGCAATATAAAGTGGTCTCAACTTCCACTGACAGCCCTGAAGCTATAAACCCACAAAAAACCAAATTCCCTAGTAATTAAAACGACACAAAAGAAATTCAGATCAGAAAAACATTCAGTCTGACTTGATTATATTGAATCAATAAATACAATGAATGTGAGCAATATTCTTGTGAAATTGTATTATAAACTTTCAATGTAAAATGGGATGAGAGTCCTACTAAAGCAACCAAGAGGAACAACAACCGACCCCGACACGACTTAAATACATTCAGCATGCACACGAAGATACCTTTGGCAGGTTTCCCATTTTTCGAGGCTCATGAAAAAAGCACAAGTTATTGCAAGCCTGCCAAAAGATATCTTGGTATGCATGCTGCATGGTCTTGGGGCTTAAGATGGCAAGTTGGCTATTCATCACTGAATAATATGCCAAAAAAACACAGACACAACAAAGGAAGATCTGGACAGAACACTGCATAACCTTCAACTGAATGGTTCGTATAAAAAAACAGAAATACATATAGACCCTTTCAGGCAACATTTCATGGGTGCGCCGCCGCCACCTTGACGTCACGTGACCCTGCCGCCGCAGCCGACCTTCAGTTTCTCGCAGTTGCTCCGCGCTGTGTGCTGCACCGGCCACCACCGGAGCTTTGTTCTCGAGTTCTTTTACGTTCTGCGTTGAAATCGTGTGTTTGCCCTTTCGATATTTCGGGCTTTCATTTAATCAATTGATATCGACATTTGAACATCGCTCTTGTATTTTCTTATTTATGGAATGGAATCGGACAGCTAATGGATCGACGATACAAGATTATGGCCTAGGCTTCAGAGACCATTAAGTTCATCACATTTTGTTTTTATCGCTAATAAGGGCAGTCAACACCATTGCGACACATAAAAATTTCAACTGACGCTGTAAGGCTATCGCAGTCGTGCTTCTTGCTGCATGTGCGAACTTCAGACATTGTTTCTGTAAGTAAAAGCCGAACCGCATGTAAGTGCTCAAGCGAGCGGCGAGACGAGCAACGGCGACAACAATGAGAGTCAGCGACGAAGATTTCTCGCTGTCGCCCGTTGCATCGCTCGGTTTTTGGATTTCTAGAAAATGTCGCTCATCGTTTTGGTCGCTTGCGTGCGGTTTACCTCGTCGAGCGACTGATCGAGCGAAAGCGAAGCGAGTCGCTTGTCTCGTTGCTTCCCAAATCGCTTTCATGCGGTTTTCTAGAAATCCAAAAGCCGAGCGCCGCGACGAGTGGCAGTGAGAAACTTTCGTTGCTGACTCGCCGTCGTCTCTCGTCTTGCTTGCTAAAGCGCTTACATGCGGTCCGGCTTTTATCTACGGAAACAATGTCTAAAAGCGCGCACATGCACCGAGAAGCACGACTGCGATAGCCTCACTGCCAAAAAATTTGGGGGTTTTGCGTGCCAAACCAACGACGGGCATCTGGAGATAGCCTCACTGCGTCAGTTGATATTTTCATATGTCGCAACGGTGTTGACTGCCCTTTATTAGCGACAAAAACAAAAGAATGTGATGAACTTACATGTTCTCTGAAGCCTAGGCCATGATCTTGTATCGTGATCCATTCAATGTCCGATTCCATTCTATAAATAAGAAAATACATCTATATTGAAACGTAGGTATCAAATGAATAAATGAAAGCCTGAAATATCAAAAAGACCTAAAGAAAACACTCGACTTCAACGCGGAACGTAAAAGAACACGAAAACAAAGCTCTGGTGGTGACCGGTGCAGCACACAATGCGAAGCAACGGCGACAAAATGAAGGTCAGCTATGGCAGCCCGTTAAGCGCACCGACTGGTGGCAGCTCGAGTAACTGACTCCCTAAAAGCATCTATACAGATAAAAACTGACACCTGCTGGCAGAACACTGTATGGTCAAAATGCACTTCCTCAGAAACCAGTGCCACTAGTTCCACAGAGAGTGAAATTCTTTCAGACAATGACACTGAGGGTGCACCTCAGACAAGAGTTGTTACCCTGGTATTTTATCCAGAAGGTCACCTAGCAATTCACTGTGTCCATTGTGAGTGCAAGTCCAACTTAGAAAAAGACTAGTGTCATGGGCTGCTACAAGACAAAAGCAAAGAGGAAAATTCACAATGCCTTCTTGATGAAATCCTAGAATAACAACTCATGTGAGCCCACCCTCATTACTAATACATGACGAAGAATTCCACGGTCTGCAGAGCCAATGACGCTCGTTTCTGGGGGAGTGCGTTCAGACGACGCATCAACCCACTTCACATGGCGCAATTTCGCTTGCAAATTTACACCTGTGACGTCAGGCACTGCAGCTTCCCCCATACCTATATTTCGCTGCATGAGTGACGTCACAACAGCAAACTCGCAAGTAAAATCACACCATGCGAATCAGGTTTACAGTGTTCACACAGCATGTGTTACTTCCTATCAGTAGATATATTTTTTTTACCAAAGTAGACTATTCAGTTAAAAGTTAAGACGTGTCCTGCCCAGATCTTCCTTCATTTCGTCTGTGTTTTTTGGCGTATTATCCAGTCTTGAGGCATATCAGTGTCAGGTGATTCTCTTTGTCGCTCTAGTAGGACTCGGGCAGGGTGGGGAAACAGTCATGTCTCAATAATAAGGATACTCTTCTATATAAAAACCGTTTTCGGGGACCAACCGGGTAAATACCTGCATTTTGTCCTGTTATTATGCACAGCTCACATTATGGACGCTTTTGGGTAGGAACGGAGGTGTCCATTTGCATGAGACATCACTGACATATTCCCTAGTGTTGAATTTAATGACTGCATGCTCTGAAGCCACGTAGCAGGTTTCTCCACTGAACACTAATGCGTAGCGGTGGCATGGCAGATGTTTGTGGCTGCAGAACACACCGCAGGCAAATGATATCCAATGTGGACAATCATGGATATTTGACATTAGAATCAACCAACAAATAGGCCTACATGTTGCTGTCACAGAATTGAACGATTTTTTTCTTCGTTGGATTCCGTTTTGAGTAAGATGCACAAGTGCCGAAAACACGAGCTCGGAAGAGAAGAAAAAGAAAAAAAGAAGGAAGGCGGAAGCTGCGTAGAGCTAGGCTTCAGTGGTTGGAACAACAAGCAAGGCTTCAGTGGTGTGGGAGGTCGAACCCCGAACAAGGCTTTGTCAAGATGGTTGGTGGGCCCTGAGCAAATTTCGACGATGTGCATGTGCTTGTGAGCGAGCGCTGTTCGGCACTATAAGCACCCAAGCCACCACAAGTTCTCGACTCCGACTTGTGCCGCAACGGACTGGGACCACCACCGACATCTTGGTACCATGATTCGACTTTCCTCATACGAAATGTATAGCGTCTTTGATTTGGCTTCTGTTCCCTCCTTGTTACGCTTTCGAAGCTTTTGTGATTTTCTTGCCCCTGTTACGAAGAGCAGAAGGCTTGCAAGATATGTTCTTTTCCTTTATTATTTTCATTTTTTTACGACCGTTTGTGCGTCCTGTGCACCTTTTCTTTAATTTTCAATTTCATTACTAATAAATAGTGTTTCGAAATGCCAGGTACAAGTCACTTTCAATTCCTACGGCCTCTAAGGAAGTCCATCACCTAGGTGTGGCCCTAGCACCTGGACAGCGGTCCAATTCAGATAACAAGTTGGTTTGTTTATGGCATCTTTTCCAACCGAACCTGTGACAAACTGGCATCCACTACAGGACTTGAACCTGTCACAAGTTAGTCACAGGTTCGGTTGGAAAAGATCCCATAAAAACAAACTTGTAATTTGAATTGGACCGCTGTCCAGGTGCTAAGGCCACACCTAGGCGATGGACTTCCTGAGAGGCGGTAGGAATTGAGAGTGAGTCGAGCCTGGCGTTACGGAGCACTATTTAATAGTAAAGAAATTCAAAAGTAAAGAAAAGGTGCACAGGACGCACACACAGTCGTAAAAAAAAAGGAATAAATAAAGGAATAGAACATATCTTGCAAGCGTTCCACTCTTCAAAACCGCAGAAGGAAAAACACAAAAGCTTTGAAAGCATAACAAAAGGAACAGAAGCCAAATCAAAGATGCCATACATTTGGAGGAGGAGGAGAGTCCAATCATGGTCCCAAGATGTCGGTGGTGGCTTGGGTGCTTACAGCGCCACACAGTGCTCACTCACAAGCACAGGCACATTGTCTAAGACTGGCTCGGGGCCCACCAACAGTCTTGACGAAGCCTTGCTCAAGGTTTGACCACCCAAACCCACGAAGCCTTGCTTGCCGTTCCACCGGCCATAGCGCCGATGCCTTGCTTCGCGTTCCACCACAACCACATCGTGCGCGGGTTCCACCTTCTTTCTACTTGATCCCTTCCTCCGAGCTTGTGCTTTTGCACTCGCACATTTTGCTCAAAAAGGAAACCAGTAAAAAGAGTACAATAACCACTGAATTCTGTGAGAGCTGTTATGACTGCGAATGTCTAGAGGGCAAAGTTGACATTTGCAACAAAAATTGAAATAATAAGGCATGTGGAGAAGGAGACAAAAAGTTTTGTGTCACTGGAGCCCACAAGATCTTTGTAAACTACTCAAGAAACGGTGTGACATAAAAACGCGACAAAACACATTCTGAGGCACGGCATGTTAAGACATCGAGAAACCACTACAGAGGTGGTTTAGAGATGTCGGGGCAAGCAACATTTCTATATTGGGACCAATCTTCTAAAGGCATGTGAAAAACTCCTTTTACTCTTGAAGTGAAGAATCTTCTAAAAGAATGTGAAAGATTCCTTTTAACTTGATGTGAAGAACTTATCTGCAAGTGGATAGCTACATTAACTTAAGGGCCACCATGGCATAGGAGAAAAGACCATCTAAGGGATGGATAGATAGATGCAAACGGCTGTACCTTTTGTAACGAGCAGTAGTGCCAGTGTATGTGATGGGACTATTGTGGTGGCAGTGCCAGCGTCGAAAGAGAAAGTCAATGGCTCAACAATCAATTGAAGCCAAGTATGAAACCAGAAATAGTTAAATGCCTTGCCAAGGAAATTGGCCTGCAGTGGCAAAAGCATCCCTGGCAAGCGATTCACAGTTCGCATGGAAACTAACAGAACAAGGCCCAGATATCAGAGCTTTTGAAAACCAACACGGATGGCACCACAAAAATGTATTCTTAGTGATGGGAAAGTTTAGAATGCCAAATAGTATGAGCTGTTGCAGTAAAACCATCATATATGTATGAAACACGAAATCATGGATGACTCGGGACCTCTTTGGCTGGGTCTTTGGTGGCTCGTGGACTGGAAAGCCGAGTTTGTGGATAAGCGTCCCAGCGTGTGCTTACTTGGTGACATGTGCCGCTTAACACTATCCAGTTCCATTCTAGCAGCCAAACACGACATCCAAGCTACATCCGTTAGACCAAGGCATAATTCAAAGGTAGTCTAGATTGTGTTTACCATTTATAAATGTCCAGGCACGTCTGTAATTTAGCCCATCCAGAGGCTTTCGGAGACGGTCACAAGAGCCAGCAGCTTGCTTGGGCAGCTCACTGTCAGCCACTCTGTCCTTCCATGCACCGTGCCACCTCCATGAGCTCCCACTGAAAAACAAAAAAAAAACAGAATCGGAAATTATACCTGCAATAAGAACATCTCAGCAGCAGAGGCTACGTTATGGTGCCTGGAATGCGCCTCCAACTGGTTCGTTTAGTGTTCTATATAACCCATGTACCAAAAGTGGTCTCTAAGCGACAAAATTAAATGACACCACAGGAGCTGGCATGTCGTGCTGTTGGATGTTGCAATCCTGGCAGTTAGTCATACAACTTCTGGCAAAAAATATATGAGCTAACACAGCTGTCATTGTCCTCGCAACATTCAAAATCCTGGCTGACAAAGCTTCTATGGACTGTCAAGCTGAGGGATACCCTCTCTGCCCCCCTCCCTTTTCCAGCAGAAACTACCTCAACTGTCATGATGTTCACAGCCCGGAAAAGATCCCCTAGAAGTTTATTCAGGAGCAACTAGGGTAGCTATAGAGACAAACTCTCGCACTATGAAGCCATTCCACAAATCTGCCATAAGCAGCAGCAGTTCGTTGAGAGTATAGAAGTTTGCCTTGTAAATACATTTCGAGATGAAGTTGCATCTCTGGATTCTACCAAGACTCTAGTTTCCAGCAAAGATTTACGTTGGCAGGCCGGCCGAGTTGCTGAGTAGGAGGAAGGTGCATGTGCCACACCACACGTGTCTTTTGCTTACATTCAGAGAAAGGAAGGCTGAAATTCCCTGATCGATACTGATTAGGCTGGAAATCTTGAGACTTTTCCAATTGCCGAATTTCTCAACAATACCAATTTTCAGCTCATAGACACCCTGCACAGGGTTGAGTTAGGTACTAACGGCCATTAACAACTGCGTGAATTACTCTACACATATGCGGTAACTATACTAAAGCCCAACTTATTCTAGTAACGCACAACACCATAAAACTACCAAAAAACACCGGGCATGCACCCGCGGCAGAGTAAGCGCTCAACCCCTACTTTTGAAACATATCAACTCATCTAAGGACATATTAATGCCTATTCCTCTATTTTAAGCAAGTTAAAAAAATATATGAAAGAGACATCAGGCACCCTGTCGCCATGGGCGTTTATCTCCACGACTGGCAGACAGAATGGGGATAGAACGAGTAGAACAGCAAAGCAGGAGAGGAATAGGAGGGGAGCAGTCGAAAAGAGCTAGAAAGTGATATACTTGGGGACAACGTTCCGTGGCAATGGAGCTAAAGCTAGAGAGCCAAAGGACACCATTTCACTGCATAGCTGAATATAGTTCAACCATAATAATTTGCTGGGTGGAACGTAACCAATTAAGATATATGTAAAATTGTTCTGTTTAGCTTTGACTTTAGAATGTTAGCATAACATTAGCCAGGATGTGCCAAACCTAGAGCATTTCCTTTTTAGCTATTTTGTGTTTTCTTGGTTTAAATTCACCCTAGGTTTTCTAGCTCCCTGCAAAATTAAGATGGCATCTTTATCATGTGCATCTTTGCGCATCATCAGTGTGGTTTATTGCAGGCACACTCTGTGAGTTCGCCCCTTTGTTTGACATGTAAGATTTTTATGAAGTTTGGCAACCAAGAAATCTTAAAACAAACCAAGCAAGTGGTGTGCAACGTGTATGACAAATGGGACAGTGGGAACCGGGACTCCTAGTTGTTTCCGTATGCGGGTTGGCTAGCAAGCTCACTGGTGTGTGTGAGCAGGGTTGGGGACGGAGCTCAGGACCCCTGGGTTCTGCAGCGCAATCCTTGCTACAGATATTCTGAGCTGTGGTGTGCCAGCGACCCCCTAGGGCCAGCCATAACTGAATGCGATTAAAATGGAATGCGACTTCGCGTCGTGGAGTGTGCGTGCTTCTATTTCTGTATATTCCTCCCGCGCAATAGTTTTTCAGCACCAGAAGAGTTTACAGATAACTGACCTCAAAACGCGGCAGCACTCATGAAATTCGTTCATGTGGCAATTTGGGTCAGGTGGTTCATGATCATTGACAAGCGCCAAAAAAATAGACAGGGTCAAGAAGTTGCCACTGGCGCACTCGCAACTAACATTATTGAAAAAAAAAACAATCTGTTACATTGCTGTGAAAAATGTCAATCATGATTACAACCAATGTAGACCTCTATCAAGAAATTCATATTCTTTTGCTGATAAGGTTATGGATGTGTCACTTGTACAACTCGTGCCTTCGGCTATAATCTCAAACACCTCGTGTAGCTTTTTCTAGACATTTTATCTGGGTATCTGGCCAAAAATTTGGTGTCATTAAATGACGGGAAACAAGGGCAGCAGCTGATGTGTGTTGTCGCTGCAGCAGTGGCCCTTGGAAAAGACAAATGCAAAACTAAACACTGCAAAAAATGCACAGAATGCACAACCAAAGTTGTGTACGGAATCACAATGTCATATGGCTCTGTGTACACAGGTCAGACAGGCCTATGTATTAATGATTGCGCCCGCGAACGCGAGGTGGCCACACAAGCGATCTCCATCACGACATCTGGCCACACACTGCAGACGCTGCTTTTGCTCCCAGTCGTTTAAAGACACCAAATTTTTGGCCAGATATCCAGATAAAGAATCTAGAGAGCTGCACCAGGCGTTTAAGATTAAAGCCAAAGGCACCAGGTGTACAAGTGACACATCCATAACCTTATCGGCAAAAGAATTAATTTTTTGATAGAGGGTTGACCAGTTGTAGTCATGACTGACGTTTTTCACAGCTATAATAATAATAATAATAATGTTTTATTTGAATCATGCCCCAGAACGACCACTAGGTCATAGTGTGGTGGCATATAAAATGGTAGTACATGACTTAACACAATGTCTTCCACTCGTAAAAAAGAACAGACTAGCATGCAATCACGAATTAAAGATAAAAATTTAGCTCCCTTCTAAACACTGATATATCTGAAAAGATATCAATATGAGAGGACAGTTCATTACCACAAATCTGCATCCTTACCACTTACTATATCAGAAATTTTGTTTTTAATAAATGTTAGTTGCCGGTACGCCAGTGTTCACGTCAAATTTTTGTCTAGGTATTTTCCCGGCGCTTATCTACTATCATGAAGTTTGCAGCTTTTCCTGATTCGACACTGCCTATCTTCGTCAGCTGAGAGACAAATTAAATTCTAGGAGATTGACCACGGTGAAATCTACCTTGCAAGTCTGTCCGAGTGCTTCAGTCAAAGTGTTGGCTTACGCTTAAAAACGGGTGAAGCCTTCAGAAATAGATCTGAATATGCCTGCATGCTCGGCGATCGCGGTTCAGCTCCCTCAACCGCAATCCTCGTACAAAAACATGCACTGAAGCAACTGCGTGGTTGACACGCCAAAACCCTAACTGAAACCGAGACAAAAAAAACAAACAAAAAACGATAACTATTTGGTGCACTAACACAGAGCCATTGGCACTGCCTGCCTCCCCCTTCCCTAGTTTTCTCTTCATTGCCAAAGAAAGTTGTGCCCAAAAAAAGATGGGTTGCTTTGTTGTTCGAACTCGGAAGAATAAATTTAAGGCTTTATAACAAGAACAAGCAAATGCTAAGCAACCATTCTTTAGGATGTTAATTTGTAATAAAAAAAAAAGAAAAAAAAACAAAAACAGACGGTTTGTTTTTACGTGTTTGCACAGTCAACCAGCTTTGCAAATGGCAGCTGTTTGTAATTCCGTGGTCAGACCAAGGGATCACCCGACCATGTACACCTTTGCTTTATTACCTACCCTATCCCCCAGCTCTCCATGGTCATGCCCAATTTAGAGTGGGCAATTGCTCGGTATATTACAGTTTGTAATGGTGTTATTTGTTTAGGAAAACAAAAGGTCAGATAAATACCAGCAGGGTCCTGCGGAAGCGGTGCGTGGGCCCCGTTTCACTTTTCACAAAGCATCCTGTCTTGAAAGGCAGCAGAGAAACAGGTTGGGCTGATTCGCCTGCAGGCCTTTGCTGAGTTGATGGCTACTATCCAGACTGGCAGCTGATCGGCAGCTTCCAGCCACCTGCAGTTTTTTCTTGATGATACAGACTTCCTGCAATACCATGAATAAGAATCAGACTGATATTCTGGAACAAAAAAAGAAACCAAAACTTGCTTCACAGATCAACAAAAGAAAAAGTGCCAACATTACGCTTCTCTTGTTGTCGACAGTGCAAAGACCATGATGACAGCACCATTAAACTCAACCAAACAAGGGAAATGAGCTTCTTCATGACGTAATTGTATTAAGAACCAGGCACGCAGCCGGAAGGGGGGGGGGGGGGGTAGGAGCCTACCTCACCTTTTCTTTATTACCTACCCTACCCCCCCCCCCAAAATCGTCCATTTTGCTGGGTCCTCCCCCCCCCCCCCCCCCCCAAAAAAAAAAAAAAAAATTTCTGGTGAAGTGCTTGTTAAGAACAATGTGCATGTAGAGCTTAGATACCTACTGGTACCTTAAGAAATCCCAGGAAGCTAAAAACAAATTAAACACCACTTAAAAATAGCACAGCTCGCTTGATAGGCACATGCACAGCAATCAACAAGCCTCTTGACATGTTCTGCAGTGCAGGGATACAGATTAAAAATAAACACCGGGGATGTGATCGATATCCTTTGGGGCAGTGCAATGCGCAAGTTCATCCTGAAGCTACTGTTTGCGAATGCGCCTAAGAGGCGTTAGAGCTGGTTCACACTGTTGCAACTGACTACGACAGAGTTGAACAAAACAGGGTTTTAAGCCGCTTACGACTGCCATTATTACTGCTGGACGGCATGGTCATAAGCCGTCACAAGAGGCTTAAAGACTGGTTTTGTCGGAGTCAGTCTTAGTCGGTTGCAACAGTGTGGACCAGCTATTAGACTAAAATTGTATCCAGCTTTGGGTCTTTCCACAAATGTTTTAAGAGACTCCCTTCAACTTTACCAGGGCCTCAGGTATTTAAACGTTGTAGTAAGTAGGGAGCCATCACATTCAAAGCTGGATCTCCTTGCTTTGTATGTGTCTTCCCAGTACCACTAAACATTCCATACCAGATCAGAGCATTTTAATCAAATCATTCAACCTCTTTCCTCAGCCATGTAAACTACTTGTGCACCCACGAGTTCTACAAGTCACGAATGTAGCCGGGGTAAATTAAAACGTCGCTAAGGCAAGCAATAATAATCATTATTAGCGACAGTAGTACCCTGGGTGGCTAGCAAGGCTGGACATATATGCAGGGGCCCGTACGCACGATCGTCTGCTAGCCAATCAACCAGAGCAAGATGATCAAAATAACAAACAGGCAACAAGGGAGAAAACAACAAGAACGATGAGATTAACAGGGCTCGGTCAACACTTTTAATACCCGTGCGACACGGGCAACTCGAATGCCATTTACAACGAATGACAATTGTGTGATCGGCGAATCAGCTCGCTATCTGTCGCGCGTGGAATGCGTCACGCCCGGAGTGTCGCGCGCCGATTGGCCGTCCGCTCAAATGTCATTCGTTGTAAATGGCATTCGAGTTGCCCGTGTGTCCCAAGTATAAGAAACTCAAGGCCCGAGCACCTCAAACCCAACGCCACGCACCGCACGCCGGCGCGAGGCGCACGCCGGCGCGAGGCACACGCCGTACACGAGCACAACGACGACACCCAGTTAGGAGCGTGTCCCATCAATACGCCAAACGCCAGCGCCAGTCGAACCGCGCCATCCCGCTGGACGCGGCGTGAAAACCCAGAGCGCGCGGGCCGGGAGTTTCAAAACATTGGGCACAACTCAACGCTGCCGCTAGCATGAAAAAGGACGAGACGACACGCAATCAAGCGTTTAACAACACAGAACAGTTCACTGATAGCAACGCGTACTTTAGAAACAATCTAATCAGCGTCTCTGCAGTGCTCCGGTGTCGCAGAGCATTCACGGGATTCTCAAGATAGCGGCACGGCGGCACCGCGGCGGCGGCGGCCGCCGCCGCCGCTGCCGCCGGTCAGTGCTAAGACGATTTCACTTTTTTCGACTCAAATCGTAGAAAAAAGTGAAAAATCATCCGAATTACGGTGGCAACGTGAGCTACGTTGTTCCGAAGATGATCTAGCATATCTGGATATTCTTCTAGCATGCATTATGAATATGAAATCGGCAAAACTTACCTAAACTCGAATCGACCGACGCACTCCGAGAAAGGCCTTTGTGTCCTCTCCGGAACGAACAAGGATCCAGAAGTTGCTTGCGGCTTTGAATTGGCACGAAGCCAAGCCAGCCAAGGCAGTCAAGGATTGAAATACGACTTAATAGTTTCGGTTTCGACCCCACTCTATCTCAGTCCATATTTCTGGGGCCGGTGTCACTACGGTTGACATTACTGCAGTTATCGTACTCTATACGAACTTTGAAGTCAATCGAATGCGAGCAGACATAATTTCACAGCTTCTTCTCCTGTTATACGTTGCTTGATAACCTTTGTTTGCTGATTGGAGTCTGCATCAACTCATGTCCATCTGGTCCTTCAAACAAACGGTGTTCAATATCTTAATTCGACTTGATTTCTTATTTGTGAATACATGTAATTGCTTAATCATTCACTGGATATCTGTTTTAAGTTTTTATTTTTTGCTAAGAAAATGTACGTATTTCTTATTTTTTTTTTTTTTGGTTTGGTTTGAATTACAGGCCGTGTTTTGTGGCTCAGTAAAACAGGTTGATTTGAGAAATTCAAGATCATGTACAGCCGACAATACACCAGTGATGTAAATACAGGGGAGGCGGGAGCCACCCCCTCCCCCTACACCTTAGAAAATATTCCTGGCTGCGTCGCTAAATGAGCATAAGAGGCACTGCGTTTTTTGCCTTATCAACATACACACAAATTGAAGGAGGGAGAAGCTGCTGCATCTGAAAACTTTCAGTTTTGAGATGAAGCAGCTCCTCCCATCTCTTTCCACTTTTGCAGAGCGAACGCTCGGGAGGAGCCGACCCCCTCCCCAGCGTTTACTTTCACCTGCCAACGAGTATGGCTGTATTTTTTTTTTTTTTTTTTCGTGGACCTTCTAGATTGCTACAGCTTCAGTGCATACAGCGGTGTAATCCTCTCGCTAACTTGCTGTGCGTGTCTAAACAGAAGACATGTTTCCCTCCGGAGCGGGATCGGCGGCCGAGTGGGCTAGAGCACACCAGCTCGGAGCACGCGGAGCGAAAGCTCCCGCAACAGAACCCAGGGATCCTGGGTTCAATCCGCACCCCTGCCCGTTTCGATCTGGATGAACATCCTACCGGCGCGCTTTCGTGTATAATTACTGCGTGATGCGCGTTAAAGACCCTGCGCTATCAGTTGTACAGCATTGGCTAAATTTTTCATCTACAGCTGGGAGACTCGTCGGCCGTTGAGGCAGACCAAATTCTAGGCTGTATAAACATACACACTCCCCAATTTTTCTCTGGAGCCATAGCTACAGGTTCAGCGCACGTGATCAGCGCATTCAGAAAACTAACTACAAGAGCACGCCCACGAGGCTTTGCGTTGCCTCTAATTTGCACGTGCTCACCCCAGCTTTGACGAAATTGGAGCCCTGCAGAAGTGGGCTAAAGCGCACACCCAGCTCGACGCGCGTGGAGCGAAAGCTCGCGCTGCAGAACCCAGGGATCCTGGGTTCTGCAGCCCTGCCCGTTTCGATCTGGATGTTTCGATCAGCCCTGCCCACCCCTGCCCGTTTCGATCTGGATGAGCGTCGTACCGGCGTGCGGTCGGGTATCACTACTGCGTGGTGCACGTTAAAGACCCCAGGCTAGTGGTTGTACTGCACCGGCTAAATTGCTCATCTACCGCGACTGACTCGTCGCAACTTTAAATGGCTGACCAACTACACGCTGTAAAAATATCCCCATAACCCAATTTGCAATTTTTGCCCTGCAGAAGTTACGCTAACCTCGATGACGTAGAACAAATTAGTTCTGAACACGTCGACGCGTGCACCGCCGAAACGTGCCCCACATGTCCTACACTTCGTTTCACGCTCAGTGCGAGCGAAAGCAATGTGAGGTCGATGTTGACACGTCACGAGCTCACCTTCGCTCGTATTTATGGTGAAAGAGAGAATGAAGAGTCATAGAACAAAGAAATGATACAAAACATAGATATAATCTATGTTTTGTATGTAGATAGCGTAATAGATGGCAGGGTAGATCTATGTCATCTATGTTTTGACTGCCTACGCTAAGCCTATTTCGTATTTACAAATTCTGATAAGCATGAGTCCACGTGGAACCTATCCAAACGCGGATTAAAATCCGGCTTGCTTAATTTGGAGATGAAAATAAAAATGTAAATAAGTATTTACATTCGCGGTACCCCTTACTTTGTTTCGATTCCTTACATCAGTGAATGCGATTTTCCGCGAAATAAACTTCTTTTTTATGTACTTGATCACTAGCGCCACTTGCACATACAACGCTTTTGCTTTACACCACGCGTGGCCAAGGCTTTTGTAACTTGTGGTGCGGTCCGTGTGGACCGCATTCCACGTGTGTTGGCGGTGCAAGGTGAGTCAGATGGGTCGTTCCCGCTTTAAATAAATACTAAAAATCAGTTTCTCACACTGCGGCACTAAGCGTTGACGTTGGTGCAGCGAGAGCAGTCTTGCCTCTTCTTGAACTTAGAAATACCAGCCAACATCTAAGCCTTTCTCGTGTCGGAAGTTTTGCGTGTCGCGTTTCATTTGAAAAACTAAAGGCTTAGCACATGTCGGTTTTAGAAAGCAGTTCTTGCTTGAAGCTTCTGGGGCAAGTTCGCTTTCGCGAAGAAAACGCACCACCAGGATGCAACTACGTAGCATGTGAAACTGATATTTGTTGTTTATTTAAAGGTGGGACGATCAATTTGACTGAAGCACCCGGTCATTCTTTTCAGTCTGGAAAGAACTCGGGGTCTTAGCAAACGGAAAATTGAACACGCGCGCTCAACGCCGCTGCAATGTACGCAGATTTAGTTGAGCAGCATGTTTTTCACATATTTTTTCTTGAAGCGCCGACTGATTTGCGATTAGTTAATTTGTTCTGGAATAAACACCGGCCTCTGGAATTTGATGAAATGTGTTCTATTGTTTTTTTCTAATTTACATATCCAGTGCAACAGTTTGTTTTTGGCGTTTTTGTGAAATCAGACATGGGGGGTGCTTGCGGTTGCGATGTACTGTCGGCACGGGTGTGTCAATAAAGCCCGACGATCGCGTCACGCCGGCAAGCGCAATATTCTTGAAAAGGAGGAAACGGTTCCTGGCCAAAGGTCTAAGCGCAGATTCTCGTGTACGAAGCTGTATGTCACTGGCTTTGTGATAATAGCGTGAGAGTCAAATTTAAGCGCAACGTAAGAACGGATTTTAAGTTGATGTAAGTAAAAGTGGCCGTATCGAGTACTTCAGGGTCCGATGTCAAGCAAGTTCCAGACAAAAAATAATGAACGACGGTAATTGCCCGTCGTTCCTTCGCGCGCTGATCTTGCAAAAATAAACGACACCCGAAACCAGTGGCGTCACGAGGGTCAGCGGCACTCGCGGCGCGACACCCCCCCACCTCCCCCCCCCCCCCTCCCCCCCGCTCCGCTCGTGCGTGGCCGCGTGACCCGCCGCTCCCCCCCCTCCCCCCCTCCGCTCTCGCGTGGCCCGCCGCGAACTTCCCCCGCTCCCCCCCCCCCCCCCTCCGCTCTCGCGTGGCCCGCCGCGCACCCCCCCCCCCCCCCTCCCCCCGCATCCCGTCGCGACACCCCCCTGAGCGCCGCACCCGGGCGCGGTCCCCCCCCTTGTGACGCCACTGCCCGAAACCACTCCCCGGCAGTTCCGTGGAATCCTGGAGCCAGTGAATACAATGAATCGCCACGAAATCCTTAAATCTTGGCAGCCGCCTGTCTAACCTGGTCGGCTCGGACCAGGACAATACAAGGAACGCCGAGAAAATCACTTCCCTGGCAGTTACGTAGAATCCCGGGGCCAATGACCACGCTGAAGCGCCACTAAGACTTCAATGTTGGTGGCCGCCTGTCTACCCCGGTCGGCTCGGACCAACAAAATACAAGGAACGCCAAGGGAATCACTTCCCTGGCAGTTCCGTAAAATCCTGGGGTCAATGAACACACTGAAGCGCCAATGTTGGCGGCCGCCTGTCTACACTGGTCTGCTCGGACCAAGAAAAGACGAGGAACGCCAAGGAAATCCCTTCCCTGGCAGTTCCGTGACACACCGGTGCCCGGGAAATACGGTGAGACGCCAGGCTGGCAGTTCACCGAATTCCCTGGGCGGTCCCGGTCCAGTCTACTACGGCCAAGGCCCCATCCTGGCCCCAGCTAGCCCAAGCAAGTGTGCTGCTTGGGGTTATCGCAACTTTTGGGCGATGGCGGCACCGCGGTGTGAGATTCGGGTTCCCTAGCTCCTGGATGATTGTTTTCATAATAAATGGGCTTGCCTACACCTTCCTGGGGTAAAAAAATAACGTAAAGCTATAATACATCTCGTATATAGCAAAGCTAGAATTGCTTTCGCATCGCAGACCCAGCCTCGTGCCGCTGTTCAACGACGATCATCCAGATAACAGCCATTTTTATAGGCACCAGTGTGCCCCCTAGAGGTCGTGAAAGTAGCGAATGATGTAGGGGCCAAGTTGAAGGATTGTCTGTTGCATTTTAAAGTCGCCTTTCGTCGTCCAGATGGTGACGAACTTGAGGTGTGGGACATTTTGCAGGTTGTGTACCAGGTCGGACATTGTCAGGTTGAAGAGGAGGGGCGAGAGGACCAACCCTAGAGGTACCCTGACTTCGTTAAGCTTAGGTCTACTCGTGTGTTCCCTAATCTTCACTGAGAGAGTCCTTCCTTGAAAGGAGGACCCAATAAAGTTGAGTGCTCTGCTTTGGACGCCGAGGCCCGTGGCTTCCTGGATGATCGCCCAGTGCGGCACGGAATCGATCGCTTTCTTGACGTCGATAGCGACGACCGTGCGGATATTGTTGCCTCTTGGTTCTGGTCTGTTAGTGATGTCAGTGGCCTTGAGGAAAACGCTCTGTTGTGTCCCTAGTCCGGGCCTGAAGCCGGTCTGGACAGGATGAAACGCATTTTGCCCCTCCAGTGACCAAGAGATTCTATTCAGAATCATCCTTTCCATGATATTACAGACAGCATGATGTAAGCGATATCAGTCGGATATTGATTAGGCTATCTTAAGGTGTGGGATTCTACCGGACACTGTTAGTGTGTTAGTATAGTGATATGAAGGGAAAGAGAA